AGATGGGTCTGCTAACTGGCTGGGTTTAGGGCAGAGCCATTGGGGTGTAGAAATTGTTTTCTTTGCTGAGTCAGTTCCTCAGTATGGGTCACTGGTCTAGGTGGGTCAGCCATGCCACCAGAATGCAGGCCTGAAAGACAGCTCAAAAATTGGCTTACGTCGCACAGGGTGGGGTTATCTGTGGGAGTTACGAAGAAAGCATAGAATCTTTATGACCATAAAGAACTACAAAGTTAAAAAAAAAAAAAAAGAACTACGAAGTTGTAAGCAATGACAGAAAAGTATGCTAGGAAACAATGACAGACATATATATATATACACACATGTATACATATATATATATATTTTTTTTTTTCCATCTACCAAAGTTCTCATCCTATGGTCCTTTATTAATTTTATAAAGGGTGGTTTCACCAGCACATTATTACTAAGAGGTAATTCAGCCAGCTTATTCGGGGTAGGGGTTGGGCATCAAACCCCACACCTCAATCCTTTGCAGAAAGACTCTCTCCTCTCTGCCCCAGAAGAATAGGGCCCCCCTTAAGGGTCAGATGGCTCCCACTTGTAATCTCAACACTTTGGGAGGATTGCTTGAGGAATGAGGATTGTTTGAGGCCAGGAGTTCAAGATCAGCCTGAGGAAAAAAAGAGTTTCTAAGTGGTGTGTTCAAGGTGGTAGTAGGAGGGATTCCTGGCCAGGTCTAAAGGGCAGGAACTTCTGGGTGCTACAGGAGAACCCCTATTCCCATCTCAGGCCATGATTCAGACTCAAGTATGCAAACAGTGAGTGGCCACTCTATCACAGTCCTACGGAAACTATGATTTATAAATTAAGAAAGGGAGGCAAGGTGAGAACTGTGCTAAGAACCTAAACTCTGCAAAAGCACATGCATAGTTATTGTAATAATAACAATAGCCAGGCATGGTGGCTGACGCCTGTAATCAAAGCACTGTGGGAGGCTGAGGAGGGAGAATTGCTTGAGCTCAGGGAGTTTGAGACTCACCTGAGCAAGAGTGAGACCCTGACTCATGAGAAAAATGGAAAAACCCAGCCAGGCACTGCAGCGAGGGCCTGTAATCCCAGCAGCTTCGAGAGGCTGAGGCAGTGGGATGCCCACAGTCGAGTCTGAGGTTGCAGTGAGCTATGATGCTACTGCACTCTGCTCAGGGGCATAGGGTGGGACTCTATCTTAACAACAAAAACAATAGTAACAATAATAACCAGCCACTGTCCCTTAATTTGCTTGCCTACAATTGCTACTCAGATCATTTAGCTGATGGTCATAAAGATTCTTAACTCTCTCCATAGATAACATCACCGTTGTGAACCCTAAGGCTAGTTGTGGAGATATCTTCCAGGCCCTGCATTCCAGGGGATGAGCTGACCTACCCAGACCAATGGCCCATAGTAAGGAACTGACTCAACTCGTCTTGTGACCCCCACCCAAGAAATAGTTCAGCACAAGAAGACAATTTCGGCTCGGCGCCTGTGGCTCAAGTGGCTAAGGCGCCAGCCATGTACACCCAAGGTGGCGGGTTCGAATCCAGCCCGGGCCCACCAAACAACAATTGACAGCTGCAACCAAAAAATAGCCGGGTGTTGTGGCGGGCACC